AAGGAGCTTGTTATGACGTGAGTGCCATGAGAGGCCATGTTAATTTACTATAGTACAATTTTTGTTAATTCTTTTTTCACATTGAAAACTTATAGTTTAATTTTTAAACAATCTAATTTGAACCAAAACACTATTTCTAACTCTTGTTCATTTTTTAGTCACAAGAGCAGTATAGTAATATGCGCAAATAAAACAATCAAGACTAAAGAATAATAAATTAAAAGCTAGAGTCAGCTTTTATGTCTCCCTCATCCACACCTGCTCTTCCACTGTCCTCCCGTATCTAATGAAAGTTGGCAGTTATGTGTGTGTTCTAGGCCTTTACGTGTGCACACATACATACAGATATGTATGTGCATAATCCTGCCATAAATATAGTTCTACAACTTTCTTTTACTAGTATTTCTTAGTGCTGTGCTGTGCTTAGTCGCTCAGTTGTGTCTGACTCTTCGCCACCCCGTGAACTGTAGCTGGGCAGGCGCCTCTGTCCATGGAATCCTCCAGACAAGAATACTGCAGTGGGTTGCATGCTTTTCTCCAGGGGGTCTTCCCAACCCAGGAATAAAACCAGCGTCTCCTGCATTGTAGGCAGATTCTTTAAAGATCCTTTCAAATCAATAAATAGACTGTAGCTCATTCTTTTTAAATCTGCATGACTATGTTCCATAAAATAAATATATCCTCATTTATTTAACCATTCTGTTGACGATCAATTATGTCTATTTCCAATGTTTTGCTATTTCCAATAATACTGGGTTCACATTCTCATTGAGAAGTGGCTCCAAAAAGGTGACGTCAATTTCATATCACCTAAGCCACTTGGAAAGTACTGATTTCAAACCTTCTCATTATGTTGGCTGTGATCAGTATTTTACATTTTTACCAATTGCTGGGAATATCTCATTATCTAAATTTGCATTTACCTGAGCACTGTTTGAGATTAAACATCTTAACGTAAAATTATTGGCCATTTTATTTCTTTTTCTGCGGGTTATTTATTCATATTTTCTCTCCTTTTTCTATTGGATTTGGAGGTTTTTTTTGTTTGTTTTTAGGGGAAGCTGGGGGATGAGTAGGAGCAGTAGTCTGTATATTGGTCTTTGTTGTACTGAAAATGATGAAATGGTCACTTCAGAGGAAACCATAAACAGAATGAAAAGACAACCTACAGAATAGGAGAAAATATTTGCAAGCAATGCAACTGACAAGAGATTAGTTTACAAAATATACAAAACTCATACAACTCAAAATTCGAGGGGAAAAAAATCAAAAAATGGACAGAAGATCTAAACAGACATTTCTCCACAAAAGACATACAGAAAGGGAACAGGGGAGTGAAAACATGTTCACTGTCAGTAATGTTAGAGAAACGCAAGTCAAAACTGCACTGAGACATGCCCTCACGCTGGCCAGAACGGCCACCGCCAAATAACAATGCACTGAAGAGGTGTGGAGGAAAGGGAGCTCTCCCACACTGTTGGTGGGAAGGCAAAGTGCTGCAAACATTCTGGGGAACAGTATGGAGGTTCCTTAAAAACCTAAAAGTGGAGTTACCATATAGCCCTGCAATCCCACTCCTAGGCATTTATCCAGAGAAACTTATAATTTGAAAAGTTACATGCACCCCAATGTTCACTGCAGTACTGTTTACAAGAGCCAAGACGTGGAAACAAACTAAGAACTGAGTGTCCATTAACAGATAAATGGATAAAGAAGATGTGTGTGTGTGTGTGTGTGTGTGTGTGCATACGCAGTGGAATATTACTCAGCCATAAAAAAGAATGAAATAATGCCATCTGCAGCAGCATGGATTTACCTAGAGATTATCATAATAAGTGAAGACAGAGAATGACAAAACCGTATGATATTACTTATATGTGGAATCTAAAAAAATTAGAAGTACAAATGAACTTATTTACCAAACAGAGACTTGCAGAAACAGAAAACAAACTTAAGGTCACCAAAGGGAAAAGGGAGGGGAGGGATAATTTAGGAATTTGGGATTAAGAGATACACACCGCCACATATAAAATAGATATATTTATAGCACAGGGAACTATACTCAGTATTTTATAAAAACTTGGAAGGGCATCTGAAAAGAACAGTATATATATATATATATATATAATATATATATATATTATATATATATATTTTTACCTATACACCTAAAACTAATGCAACATTGTAAATCACCTATACTTCAATTAAAAAAAAAAGTTGCAGTGTTTCATCCAAGTCTCTCCCTAGACTTTTCATAACTTTATCTTTTGTTGTATATAAGTTCTAATTGCCATATAAACTATAATACCATTTCTGCTGAATCCATGCATTGCTAGACATCCGATTCTTCTAATCTGCCTTCTTTTGAGGGAAACCGTCCAAATTTCTGGACATAAATAAAAGGAAGGTGGGGGAAAAAGTTGTAAATGAAATGGCATGAAAAAAAGGGACTCTGCACCATCCATCCTCCTGTCTTCCCCTTGTATCTTTCGGCCTGAAGTTTTGGTCTGGCGAGAGGTTTAGGAAAATTTGGAGATCTTATGTGTAAGAGTTGAAGCCGGAGGAAGCCACTGCTGGAAGGCGATTCCACGGGGTCTGTCCCATTTCTTCAGGCAAAGGCAGTGACAGGCTTTGCTTCAGCTTATCTTTTCAAGGATGTTTGCACTGAGAACAGCCTTGGAAGACAAGAGGCGTGTCTCCCTCCAGAGCTCAGGGCTGGTTTGTTTGCTGTCCAGAGCGTTAAAGATAAAGGCTTCCTCCAGGCAAAGGTTGCAGGTTTGTGTACAGCGCACTATAAGAGCTTGGGGTTTCCTAAGCCTGGCTCCTCTCCTGTGACATGCCCTACTGAGGCTGAAGGTGTCATCTGGCCTTGTTTGGCCACTCTGTGGAACTGGGACAGTGATGATACTCCAGCTACTGCTATTGCTAAGACGTCTGTGTGTGTGTGTGTGTGGGTGTGGGTGTGTGCAGGCACGCGTGAGCACTCGCGCTCTGTTGCTCAGTCATGTCCAAATCTTTGCGGCCCCAGGGATTGTAGCCCACCAGGCTCCTCTGTCCGTGGGATTTTCCAGGCAAGAATACTGGAGTGAGTTGCCATTTCCTACTCCAGAAGATGTTCCCAATCAAGGGACTGAACCCTCGTCCCTTGTGTCTCCTTCATTGGCAGGCGGATTCTTTACCACTGAGCCATCTGGGAATCTCCTTTGTCTCTGATCCAGGCATTTCCTACCTCTTGTTGCCATCCCTGAAGCTGTCGTAGGCTAACTTACTAACTTTGCAAGGAGGTAAACCTACAGACCGTCACAGCTCTTGACAATCGCCACATAACGACCGATTAAAACACTTCATAATTGTGTTCCAGACAAGGTGGTCTGCCTACAATCCCGAAGTCACCAATCATGTTCATTTCTCAAATTACACAGTCCTCAAATGGTTGAAGAGGAGAGACCTGTGTCATTAAAAACGTTTGCATTCTATATATAATTGCCACCATTCTAATACTCAAAAAGTTTTCACGTAGATGGAGTAGATTTATTTTGTGCAACTCTAGAGAAATTAACATAGGGTACAGAAGAATGCCAGCTTAATTTAGAAAGGGAAAAACAAATTTCAACCACAAGAGCTATCCAAAAATGAGCAAATTCGAGGAACTCAACACACTGTGGGCCCAGATGACCACTTATGGGACCTCTACATGGAGAGGAGATTGGACCAGATGATGAAGGAGCTGGAGAAGAGTGTTGTTTCAGTGGACCATCTAAGCAGACTTCCATCCCAAGTGATGGAGAGGGTGAACCGGCAGACCTAGCCGGGACCCAGGTGCACTTGGTGTGAACGCCATGGGCTTTGTCTCCCAGAAGCACAGTCAAGTCTGCTTCACCCGAAGTGAATTGGTGCTGGAGAACCGGTTCATGCTAGCCATGGTCACCAAGAGCCTGATCCACAAACCAGGGAGCCAGCTCCTTCATCTCAAGGCAAAAGACGAATTTCCCAACAACTACGATCATCTCCCCAGCGCCTAGGTTCCAGTGAAACAGATTTAATAGCCAGTCCACCTAACCCGGCGAAAGGGAGCAAATGGCCCTGGACCTTGCGTCACTTGAGGAGATGTGTTAGGTCATCACATCAAAGCCCAAGGAAATACCTCCTCCTCTGTAAAGAACACACTGTGTAGTGACCAGAATGTTCTCGCTCACTCAACGCAATGCCTTTTTCTTTGACAGAGCTGGAAGTACTCAGCAATGATTAATGCATTCCTCCCTTTCTAGACCCCAAGAGGCTCATCAGCATATCGCCTGTGTTTTTAGCAAGTTTGTGCATTGTAACGAGTTGACAGAGTATTTGTTGATAATACTCTTTTAAACTGGCTGCTTTCTAATGACGCCTAAGGACATACCTTCATCTCATCATCAGTAAAGTTGCATGAGGCACCTGTAGGCTTAGTTTCCCAGTCTCAGCTCTGCCAAGTACTAGCTGTGTGTCTTGTGCCAAATCACTTAACTCCTGCAAGTGTCAGTTTCCTCATCTGTAAAAGATGGCAATACCTGCTTATGGTTTAAAATCAACAGCCGTGTACCTAAATACTTCTTAAGAGCCAAATACCTAAAAAACTGTAAAGCCATCATCACAATAGCCTCAGATGATAACAGCCTACAGGTCATGTTGCAACTGGTGGCTTTCTTGCATCCAGCTCATCCTATCCATCGTGTGAAGGTTTCCTAGCTTCAATTCCAGGGGATACGAGGGTCTCCTTAGCCTTTATCTTTCCATCTCAATTAGCACTTTAACCCTAGAGTCTGGTTCCTGTCTTATTTTTGAGCCTTAGAGCAGCCTCTGTAACGGTCTGTGTCGAGAGGCTTCTTTTTCCTGCACCGCCAAGGGTGAGTGTAGGAAAACCTGGGCTCAGATGGTTGATCTCAGCAGAAGCGCTGCTGTGGGAGGGGCCTGGTGCAGCCAGCAGTTTCAGTGAGTTCATCCGGACCTCTCACCATGAACAGGATGTTTTGCCCAGACGGGCAGCAAGCGCGGTGAAGAGATAACGGGACGCGAAGGTTGGCAGCACAGCCCCGTGGGCAGCGGAGTTGGCGGCCGGGCAGCCAAGGCGCCATTGAGCTCCACGGACGAGAGCGCGGTGAGATCAGCCTTTCAGGTCCCAGATGACAAAATCACCTTCAACCGCGCCAGGAAAGCCGCTCAGCCCGTTCGCCCTCCCTTGGATCCCCGTGTCCTGGCTGGGAGCACAGACACTCGGGAGCAGGACAGGGGTGAAAAGCGACCTCAGTTAAAATGAGAAGGTCTTAACCCCAAGGAAGACAAAGGGCGTGCCTTTTAGCTCTCCCACACTAGCGCCTCCATTTTCTTTGCTTTCCTTTTTTAATACTTTATTTATTCGGGGCCGTGCTGGGTCTTTGTGGCTGCAACGGGCTTTTCTCTAGTTGCGGCGAGGGGGGCAGCTTCTTCCTGCAGTGGTTTCTCGTGTCGTGCGACAGACGCTGCGGCCCGCGGGCTCGGCAGGTGCGGCTCCCCGGCTCGAGGGCGCAGCCTCAACAGTTGTGGTGCACACGGGCTCAATCGCTCTGCAGCGCGCGGGATCTTCCCGGATCAGGGATCGAACCCGTGCCTCCTGCCCAGGCAGGCGGATTCTTCACCACTGCGCCACCAGGGAGGCCTGGCTCATCCATGCTCGGTGCTGAAAACCGACACCGGCCTGACACAGAAATCCGCTCTCTGGGCTGAAATCCGAGGTGTGAAAAGCTCTCGTTGACAAAGGTTTTGCCTCAGCTGCTGCCGCTGGGCAACATGTAAAAACACGTCGTTTAATTTTAGCTTTATAATAAATAAGTTCTCTCCCAAAGTCGCTCGGGAGCACGGGCTGTCACCAGGCCTCCAGGTGTGCTCTGAAATCAGACCCGACCGCCAGATCCATCCTGCCGGGACGTGCAGCCAGGCCATCCATCATCTGCTGCGGGCCGGTGAACCGGCGCCACAAGTGCGAGCGTCCTTGCTAAACCTTTTCCTCGGCCTCTGCTGTGCTAGGCGAAGTCAAGCGTGTGTGTGTGTGTGTGTGTGTGTGTATGTGTGTGTGTGTCTGAAAAGGGGTGCCTGTTCACGTGTGTATATTAAACTCTACTGAAAGCTGTCAGGAAAGAGTGATAAATGAAGCGAAGCGATAAGGCAATAAAGATTGTCTTTCAAAGAGCTGGAGACCCCCATTCAATCCCTGGGTTGGGAAGAGCCCCTGGAGAAGGGAAAGATGACCCACTCCAGTATTCTGGCCTGGAGGATGCCATGGACTGTACAGTCCATGGAGTCGCAGAGTCGGACATGGCTGAGCAACTTTCCCTTTCCCTTTTCACTTGGGGAGCGATGAGCTGGCGTTGGCTCGTTCGTTCAACCAGCCCGCTTCACTGTGCTCCTGCTCGGTCCCAGGTGCTGTGCTGGGTCCTGGGGTAGGGGGTGGGGAGGGTACACAGAGGTGGGACAGGTAGGAAGCCACTCTCGGGAATTTCTCAGTCTAATGAATACACGAACGGGGCTTCCCTGGTGGTCCAGTGGTTAAGAACCTGCCTGCCAATGCAGGGACCCGTGACAGTCCCACGTGTCACAAGGCAACTAAGCCCGTGCGCCAAAACTACCGAAGCCCTCGAGCCTAGAGCCCGCGCTCCTCGACAAGGGAAGCCACCGCAATGAGGCCCGCACATGGCAATCAGAGCGGCCCTGCTCGCCACAGCTAGAGGAAATACAGGCACAGCCATGAAAATCCACCACAGCCAAAAGTAAATGACATGCAAACAGTGGTGGACTCGAGTCATAACTCGGGGCAGGTGGGGCAGCTTATTGATAGGGGTCTCTCTGGATGAGAGTTATTGACATGTGTCACCCTCCAGGGGTCTCAGAACCCCCTGAGAAGGGACTTTGTGAACGAGTCTTTCTTTCCAGGGCTGTTAAATCTTTTACAGCAAAGCCACATGATGCCCACAGAGAAAAAAAAGATGAATTTCTGAAATGTAAGGAGAGGAGAAATATTACTGATATGTCGACATAAAAAAGGCACAAGGACTTCTGGTTTTTACCTGTGAAATTTAGAATGCAAACGGAAGCACTGTCCTTGGGAACAAGATCACACAAAAGGCAGGTGTGGCCCTGCCCTATGCTTCTTTTTTCCACCAGTGTACGTTCTGCCATCGTAAGAGGGGGGTTCTCCTGGAAATACCGTTTCACCCGAGTCTCTCTTTCTTGGCGACCTGGACCACAGCCTCGCCATGGTAGTCTGGAGGTGAACTGGGCGATCGAAGCCTCCACCACCCATGTACTGGACTCTCAGTTAGGAAAGCAGCCCTGAGTCAGTCATTCCTGCAGTGTTGGAGGCCCGCTGTCTAGAGGGCGGCTGGTGACCTGGGTGAAAGGAGACCCCCGCGGGGCTCATGGCTGCGCCCTCGGCTCCAGACTGCCATGCAGCTGAAGGCTCAGCTGCCCCCGTCCTCGTCTCCAGGCCCTGGGCTGTCGCCTGAGCCCTGCTCCTGCGTGAGGTCCCCAGGCAGGGACACTGACTTCTGCATTCCCGAAGCTCGGCGCCTGCTAACCAGGAAGAGAAGTGGCTCACCTTACAGACATTTTCTTCTTCTTTATTTCAGCATTTTATTCTACATGCTTGCACACATACACACCTCACCTTTGGCCCATTGCACAATATTTTCTTAATGCATTCCTTTATTTTTTATTCTTATTTGAGTTATTTCTTTTTACTGATGAATGTATTTAAATCTCCCCATTCACCTTAGTATTGTGCAAAGACCATTTACGCTGCAAATCACAGCAGAGAAGAAAAGGAGAAGGCAGGGCAAAGACCATTTTAAATGCCAAGACTATTTCAAACGCAAAGATGAGGGCATTCAACTTAGAATCAATGAAATTATACAATTGGTATTTTATAGACACATGCACATTTTGTTCTGATCTACATATTTTATTCTTATCTAAACAGTGGAAACACTAAATAAAACTAACCAAATAGTGTTTATTTCACCTCTTGACATGTGCACATTTGATCAAGGTTTTCTAGCTTCAGCTTACTGATAGGTAAGGAAGAACTCAAGGGAAAGGAATTGTGGGTTACCCTGTCTTCGCCTTTTTTTCTACGTTGTCATTTTCAGAATAAGTGGTTGGCTAATTCAGAGAAATAACACGAGTGAAAAAGGCTGTGACAGGGCTCCTTGGCAGTCAGTGTCTGTTAGAACTCCACCGGTATGGTCGTCCCTGGCGGCTCAGACCGTAAAGAATCTGCCTGCAATGCAGGAGACCTGGGTTCGACCCCTGGGTCAGGAAGATCCCCTGGAGAAGGGAGTGGCTACCCACTCCAGTGTTCTTGCCTGGAGAATTACAAGGACAGAGGAGCCTGGTGGGCTACAGTCCATAAGGTAGCAGAGTCTTGACAGTGACTGAGCGACTCACACGCAATACACCACTCTCTGCATTGGAAGCCCGTTCTGGTTCTACTGGGAAGCATGGTCCCCTCCCCACTGTCCTCCTCCGGTTTGCTCAATCATGAATGTAACACACCTTCCTGGGTTCACTTTGACTCTCCCTGGGGCTCCCACGTGCTGTGGGTCTACTGGGATCCTTGCTCATGGGCGTGATGAGGCTACACATGAGTGGAGTGGCCAGGAAGGCCGGATACCGCCCCTCACCCCGTTCTGCTCACATGTCTGTTCCACTGCCTCTCTGACTTCACTCCCCAACGCAGCTTCATGGATAAAATTATTAAGAATTTCAGAATAGCAACAGCCCAGCATTAAACCTTTAAAGCTTTAATAACTTTAACCTTCTGAACACAGGGGCCCAGGCCACTTCAAGATTGCATGCCCATCAAGCCAGCCCTAGGCATACTGAATGGTCACAACTAATTCCACCTTATTTCAAGCACCAACTGGATTGAGAATAGGTAAAAGAGAGCCTCATTGCTTCAAGACCATAACTTCAAAGAATACAACACTCTAAAGTTAGGTGTGCTAAGAATATTACGATGTGACTTTAAAAACCATCAGTCAGGACTTCAATGTGCTATTAAATTCAACAGACATTTGCTGTGCTCAGCACAATCCAGAACCCTCCAGGACAGGGGTGGAAGGGTTGGGGGAGTGTTCCTTAAATGAATAGACAGTCCCTGACCTCAGGAACACTAGTCCAGTGGGGAGACAGAGAGCTTCAGAACCACATTGCCAGATACATATGACTGCTGCTATGAATGTAAGAAAAATAAGTACATGGAAGCACAAGTGAGAGGGCAATTGATTCTAATTGAGAAACGGAGGTTAACGAGTTAAAAGTGAAAAAGGTGAAAGCGTGAGTCAGTCAGTCATGTCCGCGTCTTTGCAACCCCATGGACTGTAGCCCACCAGGCTCCTCTGTCCATGGGATTCTCCAGGCAAGAACACTGGAGTGGGTTGCCATGCCCTTCTCCAGGGGATCTTCCCGATGCAGGGATGGAACTCCTGCACTGCAGGCAGATTCTGTACCATCTGAGACACCAGAGAAGCCCTGGTGATCTAAAGGTGACATGCAAACTGGTCCTTAAAGGTCAGACTGGTCCTTGAAGGTGAGTACAGTATTGACAAAGGAGGAGGGATGGACATTATCTTTGCTTGGATTCCTCCAAGACATAGAACCTCAGACAAGGTTCTGTGTGCAGGGTATTTGTTTTAGAAAGTGATCCTAGGAAACAAAAATGAAGAGAATGGAAAGAGGGAGAAGCAGCCCAAAGGTGTATCACTGAGCAGACAAGTGCTTCGGACGGGGGGACACTCAGTGCCGCTGGAAGCCACGGAGGAGCCGCCAAAACTCACCTCCAACCCAAGATCGTGGGAGAGGGGTTGCTCCCCTGGCTCCCAACCTCCCCTGGCCCAGGGCTGCCCCAGGACTACGCACAAACTCCCCAGCAACTCCAGGTTCACACACGCCCAAGGACAGCTGGGCAGGCTCCTCCAGTCATCCCACACTGAGATGGAAGAGAAGCCCGAGGCAGGGAAGATACCCGTGGAGCAGCTGGTGCGAGGTGTGGTCAGGCTACACCTGTGCACTGCTGGTTGCCACAGCAATGCCTGGAACAAGAAGGTGTGGTGTGAGAAGACCATCAGGGAACATTCGCACAGCATCCCGCCCGAGCTTCTCAGACCCGGGCCTGTGTCAGACTCCCCAGAGGGCTTGTGGACGCTGATTGGCGGGCTCCACCCCAGAGTTTCTGGCTCAGGGGATGGAGAGTCGGGGCTGGGAGCTAACATTTCTAGTATGTTC